AAGAAAGAAAGAAAGAAAGAAAGAAAGAAAGAAAGAAAGAAAGAAAGGGAGAAGGAAGGAAGGAAAGAAAAAAAAGAGAAAGAAAGAAAAAAACGTTTTCTTATCTACAGAACTGAGGTACAAAATGTATAGGATTTAGTGGATGAAAAAGACTGAATGAACTTCATATCTAGATCACAGTAGCGAGAAGCCAAGCAACCTTCATCGGAATTACTGTAAATAATTTCTGTTTCCTCTTTCTGACTTACCAAAAGAAATTTAGTTTTTTAGGGAGCAATCTTGAAGCCACTGAGAAATACAGGCATTATTTTGCTTATGTCACTGAGACAGATTTTTTTTTAAACCTAATATTTCATCCCTCTGGTCAATAGAAATGAACAGAGCTGTCTTTTTTTTTTTTCCATTTATATAGTGATAATTTTCATCATCCCACAACCTATTATCAGCAACACTGAAGTCATTACATCTATCTCAGTATGAATATGAAGAGCCGTTAAATCCCGTAATTTTCTTCAAAGTATCATTAACTCCATTTGTAGGTATGAAACAGTATTTTAATTCAATACAATCTAACACAACTTTTATTTAGCCTGGTTTCATTCTATAGGTGTCTCTAGAAATCATAGCCACCCTTTTCGCAGTGTAGTATGCTATGTCATTTTCAGCAATAATATTTGTGTCCGTCAAAATTGTCCTCTTGATAATCTTTTATGCATGGGTTTCTCTCAATAACTCTTTTCTCTGAATATATCTCTTGGGAACACAGGATTTTACTTATCTTTAATTCTTAATTTCTATGTATTTACAGATATGAGTAATTATCATTAAATTGTATTTTTTAAAAATGAATTGTTATACTCATCCTTCCCTCTTTTCATTTCTATCCTGATCTCCCCTGTTCTAAAAAAGCTATCACTTGCTTAAAATTTATCAACTAATTCTCTAGCTTTTCTAGAATGTTTCTCTAAACAATGTAACCCAAATTTAGCTTCTGGGTCAAAAACCATCAGTGGTTCAAGTAAGTCAAAACAGCTGAAGGTTGCCAAGGCACACAGGAGTCTGGACTATAGCTTCCTCTTCTCCACCTTTGTCTCTCTCAGGCAATAATGTCCTTGCTTGTGCTATGTCACCATGCATGCCACTATACATAAGCAAGAGATGTCTTCCATTCTATCGGTATCTCTAATTGTGAATACTCTACCTTCTTTAAAATTCTGTCACACAATTAATTTCTTAATCTTCTCTCTCTGTGTTATTTTTTCTTTTGTTGTTTTTACCGTGATGCAATTCTATTACTCATCACAAAACTATGCAGGAGGTAGAGGGGTTTTTTATATACTCCCTGTCCTGATCTATGAATAGAGACCTCCATGATCAACACCACTCA